TGCACTGCACAGAAAAACAAAAACAAAACGGATCCATCAAACTCTGCTGCTGAAACTTGCAATGGGTGTTTACTTCAAGCAATAGTTGATTTATTATAATGCATACCTCGCCTGTCCTGGGGTTGGCTGTCCTGTCAGCAAGTCTGATTGTGAAGCTGACACTGCCACAGCATCCTTGGATTCAGAGGGCAAATACCTGTGATTTACATGTGTGTAGACCAATTACACAGCAGTTCAACACAATGAAAAAAACAAACAAACCGCAATGTGTCCTAGTCTGTTTGATTGCTACGAGTCCAATCAAAGCCTTGAAAGATTCATAGAGCATGCTTTTGATGTAGTAATGCTGATCACTCACCTGGACTTCAAACGTTGCAAATCCGATGCAGGGTTGGACAATGGGACCCCACCTTCTCTGAGGAAGAACTTGCCCTTGTCAGTCTTGTCACCACTTTGATTTTTCAAGGAAATTGGCCTGATGCTGTTGAAGTAGCATTCAAGGCACTCCAGAGAAATGAAGAAAAAAATAATGATTATTACATAAATCCATCCACCACATACGTATAAAAACTTACCCACAAGAAGAATACGTGTTGAGAATGAATGACTTACTCCCGCTTCTTGTTCAGTTAGCGTGATGCCCTGATGCCGTGCTGTGGAACTCAGCTGGATCCAAACACCGTCTTCGACCTCCTTTCGGTAAATCCAGTCCTGTACCTGTGTATATGAGTGTAGGACCATGGTGAAACTGTTCCAACTTAAAGTAGTGCAGAGTTACCGATATTTGTATTATTATTTTACACATATATATATATATATATATATATATATATACACACACACGCACACGCACACACACACACACCCATATCCATCTGTTAGTATTCATACAGCTTTGCAGTATACTATATGTGTATGATTAGGGGGTCTGTTTCCATAGCATGGATGCTATTGAACCAGGAGTAGAAATTCCTCAGTATTGGAGGGGATACCCGGAACTTCTTGAAGCGTCTGAGGTGAAACAGTATGCAGCACCCAGGTCAGGCCATCAGTGATGTGGTCACCATGGAACTTGAAGCTATCTCATCCACTCCACTGAGGACCCATTGACGTAATGGCACTTACTTCTTCCCAAAGTCAACTATCAGCTCCTGACTTGGCAATAAAACATCAATAAATTAACTTGTTGGATGTGTCTTTTATTGTTTACATGTGGATTAAGTCCATACCAGCTTACTGATGAAGATACACTTTTCTCTGGATGAGACTGATCACAGTATGTATAGCAGAAATGTAGCTCAATGTGATAAAAAGATCTTTGTAATTCCACATTCAAGTCCAAACACTGGACTGGAAAGACTCCATTTGTACTTGTTTATAAGAAAGTTGTTGAGGGACTTGTTTTTGGGGCAGAAGCGAGAGAGAATGTTCAAAGAGGACACCTCAAGTGTCTCCAACTCATTAGCTTAGGCAGATAGAGGTTTGCTTCAAAGGTTAGAGGATCTGGGTTCAATTCTCAGATGATCTGTCTGTTTGTTTTTGAAGCTGATGTCTGAAGGAAAAAATTAAAAACTGTAAAGAACACCAACAAAATGTCTCCAGCCTGATAGCTCAGGGTATTAGATAACTGGTTGAAAATCCTGAGGTTGTTAGTTCAATCCTTATTGAGGCTCAGTGAATTTTAAAGGCCAGTGTCCTGAGGAGAGACAGGCTCTGTGAAACACATGCTGTGTGTATGCTTGAGTAGCTCAGGCTGTTTGAAAGCTGATTGAAGAGTTTGAGGTTGAAAGTTCAAGCCTTATCCAGGGCAGGTGAATTTTAAAGTACAACACCCATATTTAAGTCCACCCAGAAAAAAAACCTCCCTATGCAAAGGGTGTTTGGTGACATGGTGGGATTGTCAGTGGCAATAAGGTGCAAGTGGCCCCTAGCATGGGGGTACCTCATCCACAGGCAATTGGGCTGTGTCTCCCCACAGTAATTCACAGTGGTACCCCCAGCTGGCTATCATTTCAGGAAAAAGGTCTTGCACTGCCACTTTATTGGCATACTATACTATGACTTTAAAAGAAAAAAAAAAGATACTATTCTTTGACATTCAGTGTCTCAGATCAAATAGCTCAGAGTGAATGAAGACTGATCAAGACCTGAGACCTGAAGCTGTGAGATCAATCCTCATGAAATACACATCATGCACGTCATGTCAATTAGCTCAGTGTGATGAATGCGGGTCAGAAAATCTCAGCCAACTTTGATTAATTTATATCTTTATTCCCGTATTTATTTATACATTTACAAATAGTTGCAACACATACAGGTGTAACTCTTACAACATATGCATGTGCATGTATGCCTACAATGACTGCATGTGCAGCTGTGTCTCAGATCAGATCAGTGTGAAATGATATTGGTCAAGAAACCAGAATTTAAGGGTTCAAATCTTATGACATTCACCTTATTTAGATTTGTTTATATGTGGATTTATTTATTCCTGCATCTATTTATACATATTTAAAGGTTTGCAGCATACACAGGTGCCACTCTTACATCACTTACATATATGCCTAAAACTACTACAAATAAAGAGTCAAAACCTCTGACAAACCAACAACCAACAGCTTAAACCAGATAGATCAGTAGCATAGAAATGATTTTGATGACCAGAGGTTGCAGGTTCAAATCTCATAAGGTGCAGATCATTTGCTCATTCATACAATTATCCTCACATCTATTTATACATTTCTAAATGTTTGCATCACATACAGGTGTAAATCTTACAACATGTGAATCTACATGTATACCCACAATTACAACAAAGTGAAGAGGGCAGAAGTACAAAAGAGAGCAATGGCAGTACCTCAAATGAGATAGCTCAGTGTGGAAGGACACTGATTAGGAGACCAGAAGATAAGAGTTCAAGCCTTTTAAGATGAAACTAATTAAAATTTGTTTATTTCTGGAATTATTTATTTAATCCTGTATTGATTTGAGCATTTGTCAAATGTTTGCATTGCACACAGGTGCCACTCTCACAACATTTATATAGAAACATAAAACTAAAGTAAAAAAGTCAAAATTTCTAACACACTCTCTTTATTAATCTGATCATATAGCTCAGAGGTGTTGGTGATGGTTTTGAATACCAGAAGTTTTGAGTTCAAGCCTTATGTGCTAATAATTTTGACATCAAGTACCCAAAATGAATAAGTGGTACTACACAAAGAAACAAATGTAAAATGTGTAACATTGAATAGCTCAGCATGATAGACCGCTGGTCAATAGACCAGAAATTGTGTGTTCAATTCTTATGAGTTGCACTTTATTTTGAAGTCCAACACTTAAAATGAAGGAGTCAAACATGCAAACAGAAGGGTTCCTGTGGTGAAATCTGGTAACAGGGCAATGATTGTGAAGATGCAGAGATACATGGCAAGAGAGGACATTTTACGGATTTCGAGGAAGGAAGGTCTGCTGGAGTTTCATGGAATGAAGATTCGGATTTTTCCTGATTTGACGTCGGATATGGCTAAAAAGCGGGCCCGCTTTCGTGAAGTAAGAGACAGACTGAGGAGCGCAGGTGTGAAGCATGGCATCATTCATCCGGCTACACTGATTATAACTTTCAAGCTGTCAGACAGACATAGGTTGTTCATATGTAGGAAATCCTTTCAATATCGAGGCAGAATTCATTCGCAATGCCTTACGCCGGGAGAGGATCTTCAGACCCCATTTAAATGTGCTGTCGTTTCCCAAATGAATATCTGTTTGAACGGTACTGATTCAATTCGATTTTATTTATTTATTTATTTATTTATTTTTTTGAGACATGTTCGAAGTCCTCATTCGCGGTCATTAAAATCTCCAACTCACAGTATGCCATAAAAAAAATTCACAAAAAAGTACAGTATGCCACAAAATGCCATAAGAAGAACAGTGTGATGTAAGAATACTATTTATGGCATTCTGTACTTTTTATGGCATACTGTACTTTTTATGGCATTTTTATGATATTCTATACTTTATATGACATTTTTATAGCATACAGTACATTTCTATGGAATTTTTATGGTAGGCTACTCTGGACATTTGTACACTGACATTTGTATGGCATTCTGTACTGTCTATGGCATTTTTATGGTGTATTGTACATTTTTGTGAGTTTTATGACAAGTTTTCAAAGTTTTGTGTCCGACTTCATCCCGACTTGCTCTGACGTAGGCTATTACAAAAGTGGACAGCGATAGAATCGCGAGAGCAAGGTGGTCGCAGTTTTTAGAGCCAGGCGGTGCATGGTGCAATTGCTCTCCACAGACTGCAGAACCCAGGGCATGATGGGAAACGCCTGGCTCTCACCTGATCTAACAGCTGATTGGTTTTGATGTCGACTCAACAATATGACATTTTAGATAAACTTTCAATTTTTGTTGAATTACAGATATTTCAATTTTATTTGTCTGATTTGAAGGTTTATTTTGTGAACAGAAAACATGTTGTGTGACTGATGGTGAAGTTTAGTTGTAACAGACTAAATACATTCATCATAAGCTATACAGAGTCTATTGTATATTAACATTGGACTGTTTTAGTTATTTAAGTAGTAACTATTTAACACCACAAACACAGGATTCTTAAAATAACCCATGTACAGATGTGAAGCCCTTACTATATCTAACTGATCTGTAATGAAAGCTATTGTCTTGTTTTTTTTCCCCTCTGAAAATATGAGCCTTATTGTCAAACACGATTTATTTAGCCTGTGTCTGCTCCGCAGCAGCAAACTGATATGATGCTGATTCCCATGAAAATTAATGTAAAATGGAGGTTGAACCATGAACATAAACTACAGATCGCCTGTAAAGCATTGCCATGATCCTACACACTCCCACACAGTGGGTGGCAGTATGCACCTGTAAAGTTGATTCGCGATCCGCCATTAAACACACAGAAGTTGACCCCAAAGAAGGGGTTAATAGACGTCATCGTGACGTACATGGTACACAAGGAAGTGGGTTGTAACATGTCGCTAACACATTCAAGCAGCTACATAGCTTTAATTTGCAGCTTGTATGAAGAACATTAGCGACACTTTGAGTTCCCCTGACTGAAGCGTTAGACAACAACACTGTATAAACAATACTTACTAAAGAGGCACGTGCAGGCGGTTCGTGAACATGTCTACAGGTTATCCCACACCTGTTTACTCCCATGCTGGACGAGGAGACTTCAGAGACGTTTACGAGCCGGCGGAGGACTCTTTTCTCCTGATAGACGCCCTGGAGAAAGACGCAGACAGGCTGCAGCTGATGAGGTTAGACTCAGCTCACTCACCTGGTGCTCCTGAACGCATCACATACAATCACAATCCCCCCCAAAATTTAGACGCTGTGTAAAACGGAAATAAAAACAGAATGCAGTGATTTGCAAATCATTTTGATCTAGAGGTTCACCACTGTGTGAAAAACTGTGTGGGCAAGCAGTCCAGCAGTTTAACAACAACTTTTGTCAATGCACAGTTGCAAGGAATTAAAAAAAAAAAGATTTTACCATCTACAGTCTGTAACATCAGTAAGAGATTCAGATAATCTTGAGAAATATCTGCACCCGAGGGCCAAGGCTGAAAATCAACACTGGATGACCATGACTATGATTTTTTCTGCTTGTTCTAGCCCGTGTGTGTGTTTGGAGGTGGGCAGTGGCTCAGGAGTGGTGTCAGCTTTTCTGGCATCAGTGGTTGGACCTTCAGCTCTGTATGTGTGAGTTAAATAAATATTTTTTTCCTCCATATCCAGCCAATAAAAATGGGCTTACTTGTTGCAAATGCAGTGAGAAAATCTATAAAATATAATCTTGAATATATGTTTGTGTTTCAGCTGCACTGATGTGAATCCTGCAGCAGCACAGTGCACAGCAAAGACAGCTTCTTGTAACAACGTTTCATTGCAGCCCATCATCACATCCCTGGTGAGACTTGTGAATTCACATTTTAGGTATTTGCATGCTTTTAATGTAAGGGTTAGACTCCTAAAAGCTGCTTTCCTTTTAGGTGGAGAGTCTTCTGCCTCGTTTAAGTGGGAAAGTGGATGTTCTTCTCTTCAACCCTCCCTATGTGGTCACACCTTCAGAAGAGGTGGTTCAGCTCTGTACTGCAGCTATTCTTCACCTCACAGATGAGGAGCATTTGATCAATGTGCGCTTTTCTTCTAGGTTGGCAGCACAGGTATAGAGGCTGCCTGGGCCGGCGGGAAGCGAGGACGAGAGGTGACCGACAGATTGCTGCCTGTGGTGGAGCAGTTACTGTCTAGTAAAGGGTTATTCTACCTCATTACCATCGCTGAGAACGATCCAGGTGAGTTTACCTATGTCTCTTAAAATATTTTCAGTGCAGGAAACAGTCTTGTCATTTTCCTTTAATCAACAGAGGAGATCATCTGTTTACTGGGCAAATGTGGCTTGAGGGGAGAGTCATGCTTGTCGACGAGAGCTGGAAATGAGAGGCTGTCCGTCCTGCGCTTCCAAAGGACGTGACAAACATGGACCTCTCCTGACAGGATTACAGGACCTTTGAACTGACTGGGAAACAGGACAGTATTTCCTACAAGAAAGAAAACTGCAAGAGATTCACCAGAGTTGGTGTAAAGAACATTTTCTGATTATAGTGATGCACAAAAAAGCACAGCTTGAGTAACAAACTATTTTGTTTTGTGTGACAGAACTAAAGTGCCTCTGATGACCTCAAATGACCACTTGTATATCAGTGATTTACCCCATGTTATGTTGAATTAGTGAAGAACACTTTGTTTTTCTCACATGACTCAACAGTGAACGAAGAATCCAAAAACTGAGAAAATTCTTGATGAACTGAAGTTAAAGGTGTCCGTATTGAACAACAGTGAAACTACATCAGAACATCTCTTTACAAACACTCACACAACTCGTGTGGTCTCGTTTAGCCAGACGTATGCTCAGTATTTCCTAAACAAACCTAAATATTTTAAACTGCTCTCCTCAAGGCTGGACTCCATCGACAAAAATAGTAATTTTATCAAGATAAAAATGGGAGGTTAAAGGGTTGGTTCGGATTTTCTGAAGTCCAACAATAACACAAACAAAGTAACCCGTCAAGGCAGAGGGAGACCAACAGCTCCCATGTACAGCGAGGTAAAGTAAGTGTTTTTGTCAGTGGAGTCTGGTTTGAAGAAGGCTGTGGGTTTGTGACTGGATAATTGAGACTTGGATTATACTGCAATTAACATTAACAGTCAAACATACAGTGTGAAAATTCCAAGCACTGACCATCCACCACATCTGCAGTTTTTCAGGGACTTGATCGTTATTTATATGATGTCACCTGACTTTGGTCTTAACGTTCTGTACCAAGTTATTTAGGATTTTTCGACATATACTACGATTTTTTAAATTAGTTATACAGTACAAGGACTTCATTTATTTATTTTTTTAATGTGTTGTCTAAAGGAGCAAGAGAAAACCTTCAAAGAGGTGCCTTCAAGTGTCTCCAGCTCATTAGCTCAGGGAGACAGCGGACCGGTTTGAAGGTTGGAGGATCAGGGTTCAATTCTCAGGTGAACTATCAGTCTGCCAGCTGCCCAAAGATTTGGGTTCGAATCCTGTCTGTTGTCAGTACCTGGAGCAAACCAGATAGTCCTTCAGTAGTGGGGGCGGGAGGGGGCAGTGTTTGTGCAGAGGTACAAATGAGGGGTTATGCAACAAAATACCAAAACAGGCTCAAAATTTCAAAAGAATTTTGAGATGACACTACTTGGCTAAGCTTTGGGCAGGTCAGTAAGTGCTGTTGTGACCACCTGCCAGAATAAAGTTGTTAAACTTTCTTCTTAAATGGATGCATTATTATTATATTGACACTACATGTTGAATATGCACATCAATATCCATTTAAGAAGATATATGCTATAATGTGACTTTTGTTCACCATACTATAGTATGACTTTTTAAAAACATTTTTTGACATACTACACCATGACTTTTCTTACACCTGCTGCACCATGATTTTTTTGTACCTGCTACACTATGACTTTTTCACCCCATACTTTCAAGGTGACTTTGAGCTGTTGTTTTTTTTTTAAAAAATACCATAATATGACCTCTTTTTAACATACTAAACTATGACTTTTTTCTACATGCTATGCTGACTTTTTTAAATATACAATACTATGATTTTTCTTAACAGTTTTTTAAACATAGATACTGTGAATATTTTTTTTTTTTAAATATACAGACTTTTTTCAATGAACTTCAACTATGACATTTATTTTTTTCAACATTTTTTCAACATATTATACTATGAGCATTTTTTGGCATAATATTCTATGTTCTATTTTACAAAAAATATACAGTACTTTTTTGACATACTTTACTGACTTTTTTCAACCTGCTATTGTTGACATAATATACTATGGCTTTTTCGACATAATATACTATGACTTTTTTTAAATATACGATGCTATGACTTCTTGACAGTTTTTGAAACATACTTACTATGAATGTTTTTGTTTTTGTTTTTTTTTTTAACTTTTTACTAAAACATACATACTACGTTTTTTTCAACATTCTTTACTATGCCTTTTTGAGTTTTATTTACATATCATACCATGACTTTTTTCAGTCCTCCCCGTTGTTGGTACCTGGAGCGGTCCAAACAGTCCCGGAGTACCGGGGCCAGGAGGGGAGAGTGTCTCCATTTCTCAGAGGCACAAACAAGGGGTTATGCAACAAAAAAGACAGAACCAGCTGATTTAACTGAATAATCTAAAAGTGAGAGTAAATCCCTAAACAAGAAGAATCTGGAGACTTGCAACTAAGTAAAAGGGCCCACAAACAACATGGACAAAAGGTAGAAAATAACTAAAAGGATGCAAAAACAAAAGAGCTGAAGCAAATACACTTTTACTGAAGAAAGTTGAACCACTTTAGCCTGCTCTCAATTCATCTCCAGTCTCTTTAGTTATTGCATCCTTTCAGTTTAATTCTATTTTCCATACTGTATTGAAGGTTTTTCACTCTTGTGCCCTTAGTTGCAAGTTTCTGCATTCTTTATGCCTTTCAATTAAATATCAGCTGGCTGTGGTTCTTTGTTGCAGAACCTGACCTGAAAAAGTTGAGAAAAGACCCACACCTTATTGCCACGGTCAATCCCACCATACCACTGAGAACCCTTTACACTGGTATCCTTTCTCTAGGCACATTTAACCTTTTCATTTCGGCATTGGACTTTAAAATTCATTTGACTTGGATAAGGATCAAACCAATTATCTCAGGACATCCAAACAGGCATGTAGCATTGTGAGCTATTGGAGTTCACACCTCCACTGTGTTTCACAAAGCCTTTCACTCTCTCCTCTGGACATTGGCCTTTAAAATTCACTCTTGTTAAGGATTGAAGCCCCAGCCTGCCCGACAATAACTCCCTCAACAAGAATACGTTCCTTATAAACAGGTACAAAATGATGACTTTTCAGTTTAGGGTTCAGACTTGAACATGGAACTTCAGGTATTACAAAGGTCTGTCTATCACACTGAGCTACCTTACTGCTACACATACTGGAACATAAATCTCATCCAGAGTACAGTGCATCTTTAGCTGTAATCTGGTTTGACCTCACACTTCCACTGTTTTTCATGAAGCCTTTCGCTCTCTCCCCTGGACAGCAGCCTTTAAATTCACTGAACCTTGACAAGGATTAAAGTTAGAACCTTGGGACTTCCAATCAGTCAATCAGTTTTATTTATAAAGTCCTCACAAATTACAATTTGCCTCAAAGGGCTTTACAGCATTAGACATCCCTCCGTCCTTTGGACCCTCACAGCGGATAAGGAAAAACTCCCCCCAAAAAACCCTTTAACGGGGGAAAAAATGGTAGAAACCTCAGGAAGAGCAACTGAGGAGGGATCCCTCTTCCAGGACGGACAGACGTGCAATAGATGTCGTACAGAACAGATCAACATGATAAATTAACAGTAATCCGTATGACACAATGAGACAGAAAGAGAGACAGAGAGAGACCGAGAGAGATGCAGGACAGACGGTAATGACAGTAGCTTACAACAACATTAATTTAAGTAATAATATTATAATTATAGTTCTGGTTACTGTGGTACAATATGTTGTAGGTATATATTTATATATTAATAAATGACAGTATATGTATGTGACAATAATCATGTGTATATAACAGTAGAAGTATGACTAATGATAACAGCAGCAGCAGGAGGCATCAGGCAGGACCACGGCAGCAGCACAACCACACACGTCACATCATCCAGGCACCGCTGCAATACGAGTTAACCTGAGAGACAGTGGAGCACAAAGGCTCTGGAGAAGAAGCCGAGTTAGTGACATGCAGTAGAGCTCTAACCTTCAAACCAGTCCTCTATCTCCCTGAGCTAATGAGCTGGAGACACTTGAAGTAGCCTCCTTCAATAACTTATCTCAAAGAAAAATTCATAGTATGTGTAAAAAAAAAAAAAAAAAAAGTAAATAACTCTGTACAGTATGTTGAAATTTAATCCCTGAAGAACTGCAGATGTGGTGGGTGGTCCAAAAAAACCCTCATAAAATGTCTTGGTACAGTATGTTGAAAAAAGTCATAGTATTATTATCAGTCCTCCCCAACACTGTCGCCTGGGTTGACAGTTTGACTGCAGTTCACAAGCAGTGACACGTATCAAAGTCACTTCAATCACCTTTCTTTCCCATTCTGATGCTTGGTTTGAACTTCAGCAGGTCATCTTGACCATGTCTACATGCCTAAATGCATTGAGTTGCTGCCACATGATTAGCTATTTTCCCTTAATGAGCAGTTGAAGAGGTGGACCTAATAAAGTGGCGGGTAGCTATATGTGCATGAAAGAGGTGTTCATTTTAGATGAGTACAATTAATTTTTCAACCAGTTATCAAGATGTGCTCTTAATAATTAAAGGATTAAAGAGGGCTTATCTATTCTAATAAACAGGAGGTGTTTCCCTGCCTCTCCTCACATGGGGGCAGTATTGGATGTTGCAAGATCAATATTACTGGCATTTACACAAGAGTTGTATCTGCATTGTAAATATATTAAAGTCATGTAAATGTTTGATGTAAACAATGAAATGAAAAAGCTTAGCTTTCACCAGGGGGCCTAATATTTTTGTTTGAGGGCCAACCATTTATTTTTACTGTAAGCAGGTTTAAAAACGAATCACAGCTTTTTTGCCTCTTCTTCACACTGTCTGGCCTAAATTCTGAGTTGTTTATGTGACTTGAATGGTGGATTTTCGCATTTTTGTCAGAGGGTAGTGGAGATAAAAATAAGAAACCAGGGAAGCCAGGTTACCGACAGAGGGCCAAGCACACCCCAATGATGTAACAGCATCTCCCGTCTTACCACAGATGGTTGAGAAAGGAAGACGTCTCACCCTGTAGCTTTTTCTTGTTACAGCAATGGTCCTCACAGTCTCAGGCAGATTACAGTTAAATGTAAAATGTTACAAAAATAGAGATATTCAGTTTGGCATGATATGCAACAGAGAAAATCAGCAAATTGTCACATTGTCACTGATCATCAAAATTAATTTTCTCTTGTGACCAGGCTTTAAATGACACAGTTGTTTGAGCACACTGTAAAATACACTGCTCAAAAATATTAAGGGAACACTTAATGGTCACAGTGTAACACCAAGTCAGTTAATCTTCAGGGATATCAATCTTTCCATTTAGGAAGCACAAGTGATTGTGAATCAGTTTCATTTGCTTTGGTGCACGCGGTGGCCACAGACAGTTGCTCTCTCCTCATCCTTCCTGACTGATTCTTCTCTAGTTTTGTGTTCTGCTAGTGTCCTTGTCACTACTGGTAGCATGAGGTGGTACCTGAAGTCCAATTAGGTTGCACAGGTAGTCCAGCTCCTCCAGGATGGCACATCCATATGTGCGGTCGCAAGAAGGGTTGCTGTGTCCCCCAGCACAGTCTGAAGAGCATGGAGGAGATACCATATCCTTGGAGGGTTGCACAGACTTCCATATTATAGCCAATGGTACCCTTACAGCTGGTAGGTACCGGGATGAAATCCTCAGAGTGATTGTCAGACCTTACGCTCGTTGATCAAGATCTTACGTGTGATTTAAGTGTTCCCTTATTTTTTTAGCATTGTAATTGACTGCACATATACTCTGTTGTCATAAAACTGGGTCAGTGAGTGACCCTGACCCTGGGAACCCACTGGTTGTCTGGTTGGTACTGGTTGTGAAAGTTAAATTGTTGTACTATACTTAGTGTTACTGTAATTTGAAGCAATCTCTGGCACAAGAATTTCCTTTAGGATAAATAAAGTTCTATTGAATTGAAGTGAAAATAATGTAATTTATTGTGAAATATTACAGTTACATATTGTAACATTCTGGAATTAATTTGCAGTGCATGGGTCAAATCACATACAAGATAAGTACCATTGAAGGCTAAAGTCGTGGCGATGAATCTGGGCTGTCTTTCTGTAACTGAGTGACACATCTTACTGTTGTAAACGATCTTTGATCACACACGCCCAGCCTCAGCACCAGCGCATCTCTTCTCCACGGGGTTCTCCCCTCTCTGCCCGGACTAACATTACCACGAAGCATGAGAGGGATGAGGCCTTCATGAGTAGGACAGACACCACTGGACCTCGTTCTTCTTCTCCGGAGCTCGTTTGTCGCGGTCCGTTATGTCTTTGAGCCTGCTTCCCCTCTCGCCATGCCCGCCGTTGATCGCTCCCTGCCGCCGCCGCAGCTGCTGCTGCTCCTTCTGCCATCGTTGCTTTTGATTTCGTGCCTGGATGGGGCGGTGGGAGCAGCGGAGGAGGGCGGCGTCCTGCCCTCCTCTTCCTCGCCCGGGGACAATGGCCTCAGCGCCGCGGTCGGAGACCCGTCTGCCACCGAACCGACAGCCCCGGGGCCATCCCTGGGCCCCTCCGCTCTGATAGACGGTAAACAACAACAAAAAGGCGCTCTCCATCAGCCAGGCATTGTTAGAGAAAATGGAAATGAGACAGTGTGACTCATAACTGGATCAGTTAGCAGTGCTGGGCATCACATGGTGTTAATGTGAAACTGAAGCCAATAAGTGGTCTAATAATATTAATAACTTTGAATTAAATTAGAGCATTGATACATTATTTAGGACATATACTTTAAAATGACGTTTTATGCAGTTTCCTGTGATTACTGTGAGTTAAATGCTGTAAGTGTGTCTATAAATACATTTTAATATGCACAGAATGAAGCTTTGCATTTACTTGAGTGGCAAAAGAATAAAATAGAAAACACGTTATCGTCTACTTATGCATTCAAAAGGCAGAAAAATCTGTTATTAACACATCAGAGACAGGTACATCCAGACAGGACACGTGAAAATATATTTACATAACACAATACACAATAGCAGTTACATTAAAAGGAGCACCAGGTCCCATACAGACTGAGTTAATTTAGTGTCTTACTGGGGTAATTTTGTGTCTTTTTTGGTCCTTTCGTCATTTTACAGTTCCTTTGCATCTCTTTGTGGTCAATTTGAGTCTCTTTGTGGTCGGTACATGTTCAGTTGGGTGACATTTTTCAGGTGAACACCAGGTGGGCCCCTGGCAATTTGGGCATATGGGCCCGTGTCCAGTAGGCCCATTCAATAATCCGTGCATGCAAACATACTGTATTCTGAATTAGACCTGATTTTAGCAGTAAGATAAGTAGCAACCCACAGCTCTATTAGAGGAACACATGGTGCTCTTGTTATATGTTATTTAAGTAAAGGCTACAGGTAAGTAAACATGGATGAAAAGACATTTCTATTAATAAGCTATTGGTCATAATTCACAGGTGTCCTGGCCAACAGGCTAATAGGATTATGATGTGTAATATGGAGGTTTGGGGGATTAGGGTTTTATCTCTTTGGCCTGAGCAGGTGATGTATTAATGGGGAGCATGGTAATCCTGTACTGCTCTGCCGATACAGTACCTGAGCCTGGGTTCACTCATGGCCTATGTTTACAACCAGTCTGGGCAGGGATGGTGGGTTTACATACTGTAAAACCAAAGCACATTTCAGGGCTTTCTTGGAACTCCAGCTGCCATGTTAGCGTCAGATTTACAGACCAAAACATTCTGTATATGAGTGGTGATTAAGCTCAATACATCAATGAACTATACTGCTGAAGATTACAACAAAAAGATGATGAAAACAACCTGAGTGAGGACTTAAGGAGAAACCATTCTCATGACAGTTTTAATCTTGTTTTCATCTTTTCATTTAACAGCGTAATATTAAAAAATTAGGAACCTGCTACATATCAAGTACATGCTCCTGAGTTCATATGCATCGACAGTGTTGGAAGGGAACAAACGTCGAACATGGCACTTTTGATGTATTTTTTATTCTCCCACCGACTCTGCTGTGCCTGCCTCATCACTTTTTCATGGTGAGAGAAAGGTTACTGAGTACTGCTGAGAGGAAGTGGTGGAGGCTGGTCTGCATACAGATATGGCACATGCACAGACACACTAGGGCTGGGCAAAATATCAATATCATGTTATGAAAGACGATATCTCGTCTTAGACAAAGGGACATTTTCAAAGTGTAAATCAAAATAATTTTTGGCATTTTCTCTCCAGAGCCCCAGTTTGCCCTGAAGGTCCTGGTGAGGGATCTCGTGACCCGTCAGCCTCTGCCGGGTGCTGTGGTGGACATCTATGTGAACCACACCCTGAGGAGCTCTGACAGGGCAGGGGAGAGAGGTGAGGTTCTGCTCTGGGTCGCATACAGCCCAGGCCTCAGTCTGACTCTGCTGGGCACCAAGGAGGGCTACGTCCCCAGCCCCCTGCCCTGGAGCACTGCCAAGAGACCGAGTGAGTAACACCCATTACAACTTTTTAAACATTTAACTAGTCAAGACAGGCTGACTCTAGGGATGAACCGATTATCAGCTGAACATGGGTGTCCAAGTTCAATGTCCAAATGCTGTCCAAGCTCAAATGCAGGGTCTTGAGACTCATGGTGTCCCATCGTCCCAGGGACAATAGACAATGTGTTAGGGATGAACAGAGGTCTTCCCCAAGATGCCTGTGTTATAGGGGGGTGCAGTACGCTCACAATCGACATGTCAAGGGACACTGAGTTAGCCTACATTATGAGCCGTTCAAGCTGTTTTCAGTAAAAATGAGTATTGGGTGAAGGTAAATTGTAATATTTCAGGATGTGTTCATCAGTGTTAAGACTAATGGTGTCCTGTCATCCCAGGAACAATTAAAAAAAACAAAAACGTGTAGGATGAACAGAGATCTTTGTCATCAGAACAAAAGAATGCAGTAAATTCAATATCAACGCGTCAGGGAACACACCTTATTCTTTTCCTGTTGATGCTACTTTGCGAACAACAAATTTGTGTTGCCATCAGCAGGAGGAGATCTAATTAATGTTTGCTGTTAGCTGTTAATAGCAGGTAGTCAGATACAACAGCTAACAGGGATTGCATTGAGTTACATTATGAGGCGTTCAAGCTCTATTCAGTAAAAATGACTGTTGAGCAAAGGTAAATTATAATATTCTCATGAAGTGGCAAAATGTAATCTTGAAAGATTTAGTTTTTGGCAAGAAACTAAAATAAATACAGTTTGATGTCTTCGCAGCAATATAGAATACATTTTAGAGAGGGAATTAGGATATATGATATATATTTTCGATCATTTTCATGTGAAAGAAGTTTATTTTAAAAGTTATTTCATAAATGTGTTTGATTAAATTTGTGCTCATTCAAAGGCAGTGCAATGAAGGACTGAATGACTTTAAAACAGTTCAGTTTTTAGGGATGCACGATATCAATCAATCAATCAATCAATCAATCAATTTTATTTATAAAGCCCAATATCACAAATCACAATTTGCCTCACAGGGCTTTACAGCATACGACATCCCTCTGTCCTTATGACCCTCGCAGCGGATAAGGAAAAACTCCCCAAAAAAAACCCTTAAAAAAAAAAAAAATAATAATAATAATATCAACAACAAAAACATCAGTGCCAGCATTGGCAAATGGCTGAGAATATCACAATCTGTGCATCCCTACTGACTAATTGTCATCTTTTTACGTCCACACATTCACACAATAATCGTTTACTCAGGGGCACAAACTGTGTGGCAGGTCTAGGTAGTTTCTGAAAGAAGCATTCACTCATGTGGCCCAAATCTCTTCCATCTACCTATGAGTCAAAAGCCTGGCTTTTCTGAGATAAGGGCACAGCCAAAGACTGTTAACATGACCTGCTGAAATGCTGAACACTGCATCCCAACTAGCTCCAGGGTCACAGCTGACCCTGACCTCCCTTTGAAGGGAGGCAAGAAAAGAGGATTTTCCAACAAGGATCGATCGGATCATAAAGAAAAAACACAATCAAGGCATCTTTTTGAATTGAAAAGGTAGTTCTTTAGTCAAGAATGCACTTCCCTAACATACACTGTTTTAGCTGTGTAAATTTTATGGTGTGGGAGTCTGTTAAAAGGTTGAAAAATCAGCCCTGTGCAGCCATTTGTGAGCACGTATTTTCTGTAATGCCAGCCCTTGTATTCACACAGCTGCATTATTCATGGTCATTACGGATTAATGAAGTGTCTGCGACAACATACAACTTGTCACCGAGGTTTGTTCATGGTGAGGCAATTTGTATTCCTAGTGTACAGTCAAGTGTAACTGATCGCCGTCATTTTATTGATCGTCTCTACAGCAGCACGTAGAGTCGAGGAGTCTGACTCGAGCGTGGGGGTAACATATGCCTGCCTCAGCACACTGTCTTTGTCCCACGGCCAAACACGTGCAGAGGGGGTGGGGGCTCTTTAGCCACAACCGAGCCTGGGTCTGACTCTTTTGTTTGTGCTCCCACTTCTGTTACTGGTCTGAATCAGACAAAAGGATGTGTTTTACAGCAAAGATGAAGCAGATGTTGTGATGGATAAAATCAGAGGGATGATGAAAGAGTGTCATCTGTCGAGACCTGCTTTGCTCTGCATTATCAGAGGCGCCTCCCTTTTGTGCAGCTGAGCCAGACAGCTGAACCCTAAAATGGGGATTGAGGTAGTATTGCCACCTGCTGGTAGCATTATAGTCCTACAAGTCACCATAAACAGCTTTGACTTCTCCTCTCACCACTTAAATCCCTGTAAAAGTGTATATAATATTTTAAACTAAATGTAAGTAGTATTTTTTCCTTTTCTCAAAGGATTATTTAAAGATAAATTGTCCACTTTTGATCCCTGTCAGTTCTATAATTGTGGCTTTTTTCACTTGGAAAAAACTGGAGATTGTGTTTTATTTTTTACCTTTTGTACCTTTCTTGCAGTTTTCTCTGCTGTCACATTGCTGCTGCTCCCTCACAGTCAGGGGAACATCTGGCTGTTTGAAGACTCAGTGCTCATCACCAGGAAGTTACCTGGTGAGTTTACACACTTTTTTAGAGGCAAACAATTTATCATCACCTCAGAGAGCAAATAAGAACTTTAATTCATAGATAAACACACCTTTCACTCACAGCGCTTTCTTCTTTTGATGCATTTTGCATTTCAGGCCTTGTTTTGAAAACATTCTTTTACATTTATTAACATTTTCCGTGAATTAGCAGAGCTAAACGTGATGCCTTTAACTAGTTTAAATTGGTAGTTTTTAAGTTGGACTGTAGACTGTATTTGTAATATTAAAATGTGAACAGGACTTAAGTCATCACAGATATAAGTGTAGAGGTAAATTATGATACTAGTTTTGCTGTTTTCAGATCAGTTTGCCTCCAACACAGTGTCATTGTGAACCCACTGCTTAAACCAAAATCTGTCTGTTTTTATTAAGAGAGCCTTGTTACAACTCTTCTTTCATCTTTTCTGTCTCATCACTTGAAGCTGCATAAATTATATGATCATTTGTATATTAATTACTCACCCTGTGTTTTGTTGAATTTGTGAAGAAAACTTTGTTTTTCTCACATGCCACCGGTAAGCGGTACACCAGCAGCTCTCATATAAAGCAAGCTAAAACGAACACAGGAGCTGCTGGTCAACCATTGTCTCAATCAGTAAGTTTGTCTGTGTTATTTTGTGACTTTGTTGAATCCAAACTAAACCTTTAAAACAGAAAAGTCACACAATAACACAAACAAACCAACTTATCAAGGCAGCAGTAGACCAGCAGCTCCTGTGTTCAGTGAGATAAAATTATTGTTTTTGTCAATAGAGTCTGGCATTGAAGAGAGCATACGTAAGTTTCATTTTTAGTTCAAATCGCCGTCAGAAAGAGCTGTCTGTTTGGGAAGTACTGAGCATATGATTGGATAAATAAGGCTTGGATTATACTGCCCGACTTGTGTGAGAGTTTGTAAATAGAGGCTTTGATATAGTTTTGCTGTTGTTTAACGTGGACCCATATGACTTCAACTCAAGAATTTTCTAAGAGTTTTCTTCATTAATTCAACATAACACAGGGTGAAATATTGATAATAAAATAATAATTTGGGGGTGAAGTATGCCTTAAAACATACTGCACTGTGTGTCCATATTTCCACTAATCACATGCCATCTTGTTTTTACAGACAGCTCATCCCAACCCAAGGTGAAGTTCCCCAAGAACCTCCTCACAATGTCTGATAAGAGCAACGTCTCCTCGGTGACAGCATACCTGACTGTACCACAGCACCACCTAGCGAAGGACTGTGCCAACTGCACTCCAGGCATCATCAGCAAAAAATCACGTAAGCGTTTACTAAATCCTCATTAATGTTTACAGCAGGCTTTTTTGGTTTCGAGTGTTTGTTGTTATGGTTTGGTCATTAATGCTAGTCTTTGAGTGTTAAGAATTTGTTGGACAAGGGTCAGTAGATTTTATTGTTTATTGTTTAATGATGGGGAGTTTTTCCTTATCCGCTGTGAGGGTCCAAAGGACAGAGGGATGTTGTATGTTGTAAAGCCCTGTGAGGCAAATTGTGATTTGTGATATTGGGCTTTATAAATAAAATTGATTGATTGACTGATTGATAATTATTTAGAAAATACATGAATGGCATGGTTTAAAGTACTCATTTTAAAACTTAAGAATATACTTACTTACTTTACCATTTAAATGTCTGGGATTGGCTCCTCTTACTGGATTTCTCTTCCTAATGTCTGCAGTGCTCAGAAGTATCGAGCTGAAGGCGGTGGCAGCTGTCAATGTCCTGCTGTACTCTGGTGGTGAGGAGCTCCAGGTTCGTGGGCCTATTCAAATCAGCCTGCCCCTGGGACACAGCACGCACCTCAGGGCCTCTGACACTGTGCCAGCCTGGGCCTTTAACCTGAAGACTGGTAAGGATAAAGACAGACATCTGTGAGGCAAAAAAACACATGCAAAGTAAGGTTAATACATCATTGCAGAGATATAGCATTTGGAAGAACAGCTTAGTTTCTGTCACTGCTGTCAGCTCAGAAATGTGATTTGATATTGTGATGTACAATGACAACAGGTGCCTGGGAGAATCAGGGACTGGGAATAGTGAAAAGAGTTGGCAACGAGCTGGTTTGGACATACACTGCTTCCCATCTGGGCTACTGGATCGCTGCCCCCCTTCCCTCATCAAATGGTACTTAACTCATCCACCTACATTAACTCATGTAAATGCTGCTTGTGAAATGTGTATTGGTAAGCGTTTAAAGACTACCTATAAATGTAACCATCTAGATTACCTGGCACATGGAAACTCCATTGATTTCATATCATACCACACCTACCTGTTGATGGGAATACTGGGAGCAACGCTGGCAATAGTGATTGGATTTCTTTCCTTGCTGCTATGTCACTGCGGGTAAGAAAGCTGCTCACAAATGTTATTTGTTAACATTTGTGTTAAGACATTTTTTTCTGCTTCCTAAATTATTTCTTTTCTGTGTAGTAAGAATTTATTATGAGTCATTTGAATTAATTTCCCTTGAAATGATTGAGACATGAACACAGACACAATCAACCTGATCTCACAGAAATACGTGAAATGACCACGACCTCTTAACACCGCATTCCGTGGTGGCAGCACGTAATGGGTTGAAATTACGTGCTGCCACCACGAAAACAATGCCAATGTAAAGTCAATTAGGATCCTCTCCCATGGTGGACACACGGATTCCCTGATTCAATTACGTCACGTCAACCTCGTTTTCCTCAATGATATCTTTAACATTCCTGTATACACACAAAAACGCGGAAGTGTTCTTGATATTAAAACGGCAAATATATTCCTCTGTTATAATTTCCCACCAATAATAATAATAATGATAATAACGTGATAGTTCGGCTGTTCTAGATATTTGTTATAGCCTATTCAAATATTCAATCACAAAAACGCCGTTTCTAGAGAACTTGCTAAAATATCTGAAATGAACCATCATGCCTACTTTTTCTTAACATATTTCATCTAGGTGCAGTGTCATTACTAGTTCAGCTTTACTAGACATTTGATATACTCAGTAGATGTATCTTTTTACGACCCTGTTTTACAACAAGCCGCAAAAAACCTACCGTCCCAAAAACGCCGTTTTTAGAGTACTATCTAAAATAACTACGATTAGCCAATATCCTTGCTTTTTTTCTTAACATAGTCCATCTAGGTGCAGTGTAATAACTACTTCGGCTTTACTAGATATTAGATTTATTCAGTAGATCTAGCTTTTTACAACCCTATTTTACATGCCGCAAACGAACCTACTGTCCCAAAAACGCCGTTTCTAGTGTATTAGCTAAAATATCGAAAATTAGCCGACATCTTTACTTTTTCTTACCATAGTTCATCTAGGTGGAGTGTAATAACTCGTTCGGCTTTACTTGATATTAGATATATTCAGTAGATATATCTTTTTACAACCCTATTTAGAGCCCTACTTTGCAAATCAGAAGAACTACAACTATGTTGCTGATATGTATCAAACTGCATGGCGCGGTCCCAGGGAATTGTAGTTTTTTAAAAATCTAAGTGTTTTTCCCAGATTTGGAAGTTGTAAATATTGAATTGAGAGTACACTGTGGACTTTAAGGGGATGGTAAACACATTTGTGAAATCAGATTTTAAATATCTAATTTCTAAATGGGTGAAAATTAATTTTATCCATATTTTATCCATATCTGACAGCACCCACAGTTGTTGACTACACTCACATGATAGCTGAGGTCAAGAGCTCTCTATAACAGTTGGTCCCATGTCTGTACCCCCTTTCGTTGCTGAGTTATAAGCCCTCAAACATGCACTGAGGTCAAGGTTCAAAGGTCAATGGCTGAAAGCAGGAGCCATGTAGAATCTTCATACTGACATATGTTACTCTCCAGGTTGAGACCTTTCCAATGATGTATTTGGTTTAGCTCTACGACAAAGTTTAGATTTTTTCATTTTTTGGACACAAGCCATGCCAGGTGTAGTTTCAGAGAGCACTTTGAAGGCCCCGTGTATAAAATGAGTTTTGTTTGTTTCTTTGCTTGTTTTTATCTTTTTTACTGTAGATAGTTACTAAAATGAGTCATCCTCAGACAATACAATACTACTAAAAAGTAAAACCAATAATAACAATAATGAAATAAGCAAAAATAATATTAAAATCATATTGAAATGTTAAAATCTATTTACAGAGTGGAATGGTAGCCTAATAGATAACTTAGATAATATTTATTATTGTTTAGACACTTTATTATTGCTTAGATACTATTTAGCCTATTATTGTATTTACTTTTAGCATGTTCTACTTTTGAGTAATTTCCGAGAAGTTATGATAAAAAAAATAAAAAATTACAGACTATAGGAGACAACCTCTTCAATGTCTCACGTCAATTAATTAACACGATTTGTCGGCTTTTTATAATGCCTTTTTTTTTTTTTTGCTGCTGTCTCCAGTTGAGAGTGGTGATTTGCTAAATACATTCTACAATAATAATTAGATTAACATTTGGTCTATAATATTGTTGGCTATATTACGCATTTTAATTAAAAAAAAAGGAAAGAATAAAAGAAATAAACACCAATATAATTACTTTTTTTTATTGATACTCCTCTCTGACACACACACACACACACACACACATTGAACACGCGATTGAATGAATGAATGAATGAATGAACATTGGAAGTGGTTCAGCCGCAGTTCCGCCGGCTGGCTCACATTGAGATTACATTTGTTTTTTATTACTAACAAAATGTTTTATATTGACCGTATGAATGGTTTCGTTTTCAAATAAATATTTGGAAACGAAAATATGCTTTGGTGTACTTTTACAGAGTTTTGCAATATGTATATAGCCTACCTGTATCAAAATGTATAATTTTCAGCAGCGGTTTGTGTGACAGCTGCCACGGTCGGAGGTATAACCAGCGGGGCAGCCGCTGGTTCTGTGGCGCTGGCTTGGGGTCCACTCTCCCCTGGTGGAGTGGAGGGTGGCCGGGTTGCCAGGGGCAGACGGCTCCATGTGATGGTGTTTCCTCTCTGGTTCTTCCGTGCTCAGCCTTATTTTTATCTTCTTATTTATTTATTTATTACTGGCGTTTGGATTCAGTTACGGCAGATGGATGGCAATCTGAAATGGAATGAAGCCCACAGACGGCGGACAGCAGCTACAAAACAGTAGTGGAACGCGCCCCATCCGCCCACAGCACAATGCTCTTAAAGCCCTACGCTATCAAAAGCTGGCAAAATACATTTATTTTATTTTATGGCCTTGACATTAACCTGTCATATTGTTGAGTTATCAAGGACACTTCCGCGTTTTTGTGTGTATACAGGAATGTTAAAGATATCATTTAGGAAAACGAGGTTGACGTGACGTGATTGAATCAGGGAATCCGTGTGTCCACCACGGGAGAGGATCCTAACTGACTTTACATTGGCATTGTTTTCGTGGTGGCAGCACGTAATTTCAACCCATTACGTGCTGCCACCACAGAATGCGGTGTTAAGAGGTCATAGTCATTTCACATATTACTGTGAGATCAGGTTGGACACAATCCAAGTGAAGCAGATTAACTTAGTTTTTAACTCTAAAAACAAAAAACAAAACCAGGGTTTAATATTTGATTAAGGTACACTGATTGTTACACGAATATTTAAACTTATAGCAAAATCTTTGACATTTGAGATTTCTCTTAAAGAAGAGACTGAATAGTCAACATGATCTCATCCCTACTCATTACGTAGGCAGTTAGATTTCGGTAACAAAAGTACTTGGTTAGGGTTAGGACAGACTGTGGAAGACGTGACTAACAACTGATGTGACAAATGTTTTCCCTACACCTGATCTTTCTGCCGAGACTGTTCACATTTATGAAGTCACCCATATCTGACATCAGTGTGAACAGATCTCTGCCCTGAAACGTCTCACGTGCAACCAATAACGTCAAACACATGCCCGTTGGAATTTGCAAACATACCGGAGAGGGTCCAGTGAAATCATTCTGCTAAATAATTAGCCACATGCTACTGTTTGGGAGAGTGAGTTGCGCATTTTGGAGCAATGGCATTTGGGCTTTCAGTCCACTAGCTCTATTAGCAGGTATTGCTTGTAGTTCTGTGGAAACAGATGTGTTGGTACAGTCAGGAGAGGAGTTAGTAGTGGTGTGATTAGTATGCAGGGCTACATTCTAACGTTGGTGGTGCCATAAGACAACGCTGTCATGGCTTGTAGGCAAACTGTCCTGTCAGAACGTGTCTATCGGTTTGCAGTACGGCTACGACAGCCCTCTGTTTCAACAGACCATTTTGACAATATATGGTGAGTGATCTGTGCCTGCACAGTGAAGCATGACATGGAAAAATCACAGCTGTATGGAAAAAAACATGTAATTTCCGATACAACAAAGATATGTATCAGATTTAAAAGCACACAAAAGTGGCCCAGATCCGATTGGAAAAACACATTTTTGTGTCCAAAGTGCTGTGAAAAAAAATCAGATCTGTGTCACATAACAGCTAAAAAAATCAGATTGGGGCCACATTTGCTTGTAATGTGAACAAAGCAAAAGTTTCACATGACATCAACACTGGTCTCCTGGGTTAAAGTCCTGTGCTTGTTGGGATCCACCTCCCCTCCCACCTTCTCTCAGCAGACATTCTCATTCTTTATACTACATCCATTGCTCTGAACGTCTATTAAAGACGGGAATGGGTTTACATTGGATTTGGCTGAAAGCCCCATGTGTCTCATAAAAATGAAAAGTGCCCCTTTAACTTCTCCTAACTTGGCTGACTTGTTTGTAAAGCAACACTATGTGGTCCACCCTGATCATATTCTGTTTCTTTCATATAGGAGAGGTTCTCATCGAGAGCCCAGGCGGAGGAGAGCGCGCTTTTCCAAACTCACGGTGGTGAAAAAAGACCAAACCACCTCCACCCACATGGAAGAGGGTTTGCTGTTCCGTTCTGGCGAGAACAGCCTCGCTTCCTGCAGCGTCCAGTGTGAACCCTCGTCCACGCCAAGGCACAAAGCCAACTACAACATCTATGTGGAGGATCCAGGGAGTCGCCCAGCGGCTCCTCTTTATGAGAACATCGCTCTGGATCGGATCAAAGGTTCCCAGCCGCCGTCTCACTACATCAACAGTGAGGAGGTGGCTCGGCTTCGGGAGAAGTCAGAGCAAGCCAACATGAACTCTGACAACTTCTTTCAAGATAAGCTGGTTCATATCTACAACCAGCCGGTGGCCATTATTCAGGCACCGGAGCTTTTCGGTGCTCAAGAGCAGCATAAGTCTGCTACTTTCCCCCGCAACGGGGTGGAGTATGATGCTCACTCAGAGCCTCCAAGTAAAGACAGCTACACCCAGACACTACCCAAAGCTCCTCACCATCACTCCCAAGGTGGAGGCAGCCCACGGCAGAGCAACCAAGATGAGCCCCAGCCTCTGGAGACTCCTCCTCCAGGCCAAGGCCCTAACGCTGTCGTGTGGGGACGCTACAGTAACCTCCTGGAATCCTCCGTCTCCGTGCCTGGGACTCTTAATGAGGCAGCTGGTATGGAGGCCTTCAGCGGCGGGCATGGTGTACCCAGCGAGCTGCAGGGGATTTCAGAGCGCACCTTGCTGGAGCTGACCCGGGGCAAGTCTCACCCCAGAGCCTGGTTTGTCTCCTTAGACGGGAAGCCCGCTGCCCAGGTCCGCCACTCCATAATTGAGCTCCAGACTCGCCACCGCCCACCGAGCAGCAACGACACTAGCCTGGACTCTGGGGTGGACATGAATGAGCCCCAGCAGAATATTCGCGAGACAGAGCGCGACAGGCCCTCGATCAGGGCCTCCTCCCTGCCGCACCACAGCCGAGGGGGGCGTTACGGCGAAGAGCAGGACCTGAGCAGCAGCGAGAGTGGCACAACAGCCACCTGTACGCCAGAGGACCCTTCCCTGAGGAACATTTTAGACGGGAGCAGCGGGGCTATCCCTAATATTCCCGAAGAGCGAGACGGAATGGATACATCCAGCGCTCAGGAGGACAGCGAGTCAAGAGGTACACCGCCTCCACGGCGCCTGAGGAAGGTGAGGGAGAAGGGGAAGACAGAAAAGAGGAGTGCCAAGCATGTCCGCGAAGGGCGACCTCTGACCAAGCGGAGTTAGAGCACGGCTCATCGCAAGCATTTTTTCATCAGTGCTCAATTTCAATGTTCCATCAACCGTTTAACCCACATTATGCTACCGTGTCATTAGTGCTGAGTGATCCAAATTAGTTTTTACCACTTGTCCTCACGCTGGCATTGTTGTTGTTGAGTTTTGTGATTGTACAACTTTGCCAAAGAATGCTATGCTCGAGAAACAAAGCAGGATCTGTGTCACGTTGAAGCATCATGTAGCTGCTGTTAGACAAGTCTGCACACCATGTCCCCTCATTCTCTGAAGATCACCAGCAAGATTCTTCACAGAAAAACGTCCGTGTGAACACGATATCCCATAATCCCCAGTACTGGCATTATAGAGGGTGCCTTCTTACTGTCTGTAATCATTAAATATGATCACAGTATTTGTCTATATTGAGTCAGAGCCGGTGAGTTTGCAGGACGGACACAGATACAGGTCTATGTGTAGTGCACTTATCCTCACCGTAAATGCCTGCTGTAAATTAAATAAGATATTGAAGCTTTCCCGGTTTGCAGTGCTGACATCTTGATTTGATCATCCAGCCTCATTTTACTTAAACAGACTCTGGGGTTCATGAACGACTCAGTTATGTCATTATTAGAATCAGCTCTGTCAGAAAAATTCACGTTTTTAACTCATGACATAATTATATCGGATTTGTTGACAACTAATCTGACTCCAGTGAATTTTGGAGTGATGTACATTGTAAAGCTAAGCTGCCATTTTGAAGCTATGACACCTGATGTTCAAGGTTTGAAGCCTACAATTATTTTAGAATGCATGAAAATGAATGTCTCCTTGTGTGTATGAAAATGATTTTACTGTAGAGCTAATGTTACATCATCGTAGCTGTTTGATTACTTACTGAATGGTTTGTTTCATTGTCTAGTCTTGGAGGGAAACTCAGTGTTGTGCTGCCAACTGTAACTACTGGAAGGAATTTTTACAACAATAATAGACGAAGACTCCTACAGTGTGGGTATTACATTGTAAGAACCACACCTAAATATGCAGAAGCCCAGTAAATCCAATTTTAAACCACATCCCATAAAGTGTGGGATGATTCAGACTGTCTCTCTGAAGCAATCCGATACAACAGCCTGATGCGACATTCATATGGATCACATAGACAGCAAGAATATCATTTTAGTGAAGGAGATAAGGACAGTAAAATTAGATGAGGCCAACAAAGAATGCTGGTAATGGTAGACGTCATTGCTGTTAAAAGTTTAAATATTTCAACTTTTTGATGTCCTCAGCAAGGGCATTTACAGGATGTTGCGTAGCTCCTTCACACAAGGAGAAAACACAAACAAAATATTAGAATAATTACATAAAAAAATATTATCAATATATTTTATTCCGTTCTCTGTAAACAATACAGTTTTGCCATCCCAACCTACAAGTTTACATGTTTGGTTTTACCATTCTGTGAGACTCCTTGTTTTTCCTGTGCCGCCTAGAACGTGTTGTCCACCTGCTGTCTACTGTCTGTCTGATTTCATGTGAACACAGCATTAAAAAGGAGTAAATGCTGATTGGTTGGAGGAATGCTGTTTAAAATATTGTAAGTGTACAGGTGTGAGCGAACTATTTGATATATATTTGCAATATTAAGGTGGCTAAAACCTTGTCTTTAGCCCCAAAATGCATTATTTTCTTTTAATCACATACAGTGAATTACCTTGTAATTATTTTCTTTACAACATTAATTTGGTGCCTTTCACAACCTTTATTACCAAGCCTCTTAGTACCTTGACAAAAACATATAAGGCTGTTCATTCATAACATTGACGTTACAATTCCACATCAACATTTGAATACTGTGCAGCTTCTTTCTTTTTGTATGTCCAATCATTTTGTTTACACCCAGTATTTCTGCACAGTTGCAGATAAAGATTAGGCTACATTTGCACTATTAGTGTTGTACTATTTGTCGAATTAAATTCCAGTGGTGGCTGCATACAATTGTTTCCAAGTCATTTTAAACTTGTTACAGGGTGTTTACAGGTATAAACAAGTTAAATTTAAGACTTTTAAGACCTTTTTAATGCCACTTAAAATGAAATGTAAGACTAAACTTGCGATGGAAATACACACTAAAAGCAAAAATATACTCTGTCCAAGTAAGCACATTGATATCAGTTCAGAATGAACAGTAAAAATGACCCTGATGATACTTTCTGTGCTTACAGCTCTGCATGTGCGATTTCCACCACCCTGATTCCCATTTTACATTTGAAACACCTTTGACATACGGTATAGTTTACCTCGTAAACATTTCAGGGCACTGGATTTAATCATGAGTATTCTTTTGAGCTTTTTGCCCTTTCACTTGCATTTTCCCATTGCTTGAAAGGTCATAGTTTAATGATGCAGACTCATTACATAAGTGCATTGAGGGGGCAAAAGTAGGGGTGTTGCACACATACAGGTGTTGTCTAAGTCTGGTTCCCCCGTCGAATAGTATTTCCCTCTTGTTAAAATTATGTTTCCTATAGCAGCAACACCAAAAATTATATCAGTGATGTGACAAAAAAAAATGAAGACCCAGTCAATTTGAATTTAATTTAATAGATGTTAAGGCCTTTTAATAGTAAAGTAAATAAGACTGTAAAGGATCCGCGGCCACCCTGCGTTAAGTCCAAAAGGCTTTTTTTTTTTTTTTTTTTTTTTAAACAAAAGGAAGATGTGATCATTTTGAAAATTCCAAATATGTTTTTATCTGACAAAATATTCTACTTCAGTCCATATTTGCTAGCGTTTAGCCTTTCAAAAACAACATTTTTACTGGCTTCCGCTGCCGGAGGCACGCGTCTGTATTAACGGGGTGGTCTAGCAAACAAGCTAACTGTACCATAAATTAAAAAAAAAAAATTAAAAAAAACTTACTCATCAAATGAGATGAATGACTTTGTACAAATGAAGGATTTTGTAAAAGGATTTTTCTTAGGGTGATGACATTATAAAATATGACAACAGACATTCAAAGCTTTTGGAAAACCTCAGTAGAAACTCTGAATGTCAAAAAACAGAGATTTGGAATAGCCTTAAAATATATTTGCTTCCTCACCATAAAAAATACTTTCTGTATGTTGTTGTTGTTTTGCTATTACTTAAGAAAGAAGGATGGTGTTCTACTAATTTTTCAACTGAAAGTTTTAAAATTAAATTTTGTAGACATTCAGGGTGCCCAGAAAATAAATTGTTCCAATTATGGTGATCCTTTTTCCACTAATGCCACCATGACGTTAACATTTGTGGTTTTGTGTCAAATGTTTCAACAACTATTTTCATCATGATCCCTTAATATTACCATCATCAGGTCAAAATTTTCTACACTTTGGTTTAACTTTGGTTTTAAGTAGTATATATCTAACCTTTCATATCTGTCCTCTACTTATTGACATCAGCTTTTGTCTTAAGTCAAATAAAACATAACTTTATATGTCTCCATTTGTTACACTGGCACACAGCATTCCCACAAACCTACCAAATCTTGAGAGTGTAAATACCACAACAGCAACGGCAACAATACCAATACTGACATCATTGCCCATCCAAGATAAAGTCTGGCAAAACCTTCACCAAGAATACCACAAAACAGTTTTACTAGCAATATTTACCATAAATTGAAATGGAAGCTTTGCAGCAACAGTTTTGCCATATTTAGTCTTCCATCATATTGTAAATTTTTTCCCTGATGAGGTCACTTTGTATGTAGAAAGCTCCATTCTGCAGCTCCATTCATATCTTCTTTGTCTGTATATAGCAAAGCAACATTTTATGTATCATGTGGCTGTGATTTAACTTATTTTGTGCTGTTTTTCTTTCATCTTAAAGTCTGAGAGGTGTGTCAGTGTAATGGTCGAATGACACAGTTTTTGAACCAGAGTCATACGAGATATATTAATATTTTTTTTTTAGGTTAGCCTGAGTCTTTTAAAAGGGAGTGCACAACAAGCCCGAGCTTTGTAATTTTAAATGTAGCAACAAGTTCAGCACTTAACCTTTCAGTATGCTTACAAATGAAACTACTTTCTTCCGCTCGTCATCAGCTTGAAGACACAGTACACCCCAGCTTAGACAGCAACGTGAGAAGTAGTTTGTGAACACTTTGTGCTGATAATTCCTGATAAGCAAATCAAACCCAATACCACTCCCATTTCAGAGTGATTTTGCTGAATGTATCTGTATTGATTTTAATGTGTTTGATAGTGTGCTCCTTTTGTGTCTAGCCATTGAACCTCATGGGCTTTTGTTTCTTGTTTGTTCCACCGTTTGTGTTTACCTCTGTAATAATGGTAGTAATACTAGTCTTGCCTTTTTGTGCACTAAATTAATAAACTTAACTTGGTACCAATTATTGTTCAGAAGCTTTTTTCTTTTCTTTTTCAACTTTTTTTTAAAATATTTGATTATGTAGATATTTAATGTTGATAAAATGACAAAAAACAATATTTCAGATTGACATCTTTTTGAATAAAGTATTACACATACATGCTTTATTGATTTCTTCTGCTGTATTAAAGGGTAACTTAAGCATTTTCCAAACTGGACCCCACTTTCTTATGTTTTTGAGTAAATAGTAAATAGTAGTAGTAAATAATGGAGACAACTTTTTTTTTCTTTTTCTGGCAGCTGCTGGCAGCCGTGAAACTGGCTGAATTGTAACGTCAACGTCGAAATAAGTCCACTTAAAGTGTTTTTGCCACTGACAGACTCAGATTGTTATTCTAAAGACCAGGTTGTGATGAGTTGACACAGGCAACTAGCAATGCGCCATTCTGCAACACTCTAAAATATTCTGCCAGTTCACACCAATGCAACTAGATGAGACTGTGTATCATCTCCATGCAACAACTTTCTCTACTTCTGTTCTGATTTGCAGCTTTTCAGGTTTATTTTGTGGCTGAATATAATTTGTAGCTGCTGAAAATATGAATGAGGATAGTGATAGTGAGATACAGGCTACAGTTGCATTTGTAGTAGTGATGGAACACCAAAAAACAGAAACGAAACAAGCATCAGATTGACTGTATTCATAAAAAATACGCCATAATAATATAAATAACCAGCACCAATTAATCAGTTACTGAGTGTGTGTGTGTGTGTGTGTGTGTGTGTGTGTGTGAGGGAGGGAGGGAGGGACGGAGGGAGGCATAAGCACACACAGTGAGCAGCAGCAGCTACCTACCATCCAACACTGGCACACCGTGAGGACAGAAACAGGGCTCTGTGGGGATGGAGTACCTGCTGCAGCAAGTGAACACGCCGCCTGCGGCCATTTTGACTTTTTTAAATATTTTATTTTGTAGATTTTCCAATTTTGTGGTCATTTTGACTTGACCAGCGGACTTCACTACAAGCCCATTGGTTGTTGAAACAGGTGATGAGCTTTACGTTCTAAAACAAGCTGCCGGAGATTTGACCAGCTGAATTGCAGGTGACACCATCAGCTGGCTTGAGTTAAGCTCAGACCGGCCAGTTCACACAACTGCAACTTTTCTCTTCAACGTTCTAGAACAGTTTCCTCTCGTCGAAAATCTTTGGTTAGAACTGGGCTTAAGTGTCTGACAACATTATGAAAATGATCCCTTCAGATTTAGACCTTTTTGTTAAAGAGTAAGAACCCTTTAGTTTAACCAGAGATAGATCTAAAGTCGCCATCACCAAATCCACCAGACTCCATTTAAAAAAAGACTAATTTTAGTGTGTAAAGAGCCAGCATATTTTCACATCTAACTGGGTGAATTAAGGGTTTATTTGACTCAAACCAGAGTTGCTGATTGTTGGAACAGTGGAAAGATGAACCAAACCGACTTTCGTGAGTTTTATTTTGTTTCTGTCGACTTTGAATAAAATGTGTTTTACGCTGATAAAATTACTGTTTATTTAAATGAAGTCCGTTGGGTTTGGCGATGGCAATTTCAGGGCTGTTTCTGGTTAAACAACAATGATCATACTCTTTAATAAAAGGTCTATCTGTGTAGGGATCTTTTACATCATGTTGTCAGACACTTAGAATAACAATCTAAGCCTGTCAGTGACAAAAACAGTTTTAGTGGATGTATATTAACAATGCTCAATTGCCCCCAAGGATTACATTGCAGCCTGTTTTTTTGCAGCTCCTTCTCTCAATAAACTTTCAGTATCATACCTTTGGAACCAAAAGTCACCCTTCAGACATGGTACCTAGACCTCAGTGTTTTCACTGCAAACACTACCCTTAAATGTGGGCAGGGTCGTTGTCTCCCACTGCTCTGTCCGCACCTACTATATTTTCTCATCAAAGGTGACACAGAGCGAAGTCTCCACCTCAATTATCGTCCACAGAATGAGGATGCATGCCGATCTTTTCAGAAAAAAAAGACAGGCTGCAGTGACAGTCTCTCTACATGGGATATTTAAAAATAGCGGGTTTGTGCATTTAGTCCTTCTAAGGCAAGAGCAGGTGTTTGGTGTTGCTGTAGCCCACAGGAACGATGCTCCCCAATGGGGTTTTTTTCTAGAAGTGAGGATTGGAATATATGCAGTTCACATAATCTGGTTGAAATTAATTGACATAAACACTTGAAGATCTACTCATTACTAAAAGTCTGTGTCGTATAAACACTTATGGAATGGTCAAAGTTGTCATATTGAAATCTAAGCTTTGTTGGATACATGTTGTTGACAAGTAAATGTTGCTGGCAGTCGGCCCAGTAAATTAAATTATTTTTTCTCCGACCCAAGCCAATGCAAGAGGCAGCAAAACATCCTTTTATTTTATAGTTACAGTTTACTAACATATGTAAAACTCTCCACAGTATTAACAGTGGTTACATAAACCTCAAACCCAGCCACAACTCAGCCATGAGCACAGTGACCATCCGCTATTGACCAATCAACGGACTGCAGTGTTCACAGCTCCACCTTTTAGTACCAGATCTGTACAGATCGGCTCCATTGGTACCATTCACAACTTTTCACAGTGGAAATGGAAAAAAGTGAACCAATCTGAAATGTACCATACCGGACTGCTCAGTGGGAATGGGGCTCTTGACACAAAACATGCGAAGGTTGAATAAAACCTGTAACCCTTTAACAGGAACGATTAAGTCTTTTTCTTCCTCTGTTGCTGTGTGTTTATCAGGACTCCAGTCATTTTTAGCTCTGAAATGAGTGTGTTGTTTGTATCTGTCATGGTTAATGTGCCTGTCCTTTTGAGTTGCACTCTAGTTCGCCTGGCAGGAAAGGCCACAGTCGCTTTGTGGTTAGACTCGGGTCTCCATAAACCGACAAAAAGGTCCAGCTGTGGTTGCTCCCTGATTTTTACCGCCATAGCACACCTGTTAGGTGAAGCAGTGCTGTGTTTTGCTGTTGTCTTTTTTGAGGAATGTGCACTTGAGTCAGATTTACTGAGCTGATCACAAGCAGAGCTGCTTTCAGGAATAAGAGTTCTCTGCAACTCTCTTCTTCCTTCCTTCACCATAGAGTCTGTGGCTATGCACAGGCCTTGAAAGCTGTCAGTTATTAACTTTTGTGGTGTGTTAAAAGTTACTGAAGAGTCTGTTAGCACCTCTAAGTTAAGAAAAGTGTGTGAGGGAGTAACTTTAGTGTTCCTGTCTCGCAGTGCCACTCCTGGAATAAACAAGTCCTTTAAGGTTTTTTCTGGTTGTTTGGCACAGTCACTGGAAAGGCAGGAGGCCGACTGAGGGGAGGTCTTCCTTTCTGTGGAGCTCCAAGTCAAGGGGTCATAAATGACATATCCATCCAAGGGGCAGGAATTGGACTTCCGTAGGATCCTGTCCACACAGTCAGTGTGAAACTGAAGTGTGTGTGAAAATGTGAGGGGACAAGGGAGTGAAAGGAGGGGTTTTCTTGTATTACATCTGGTAAAACCATTCTGATTTTTTTTTTTGCAGTTTGGTTTCTGATGCACTTCACAGATTCAGAATAAAAATAGACTGTTGGATTTGGATTAAGTGTAGGTAGATGCAATACTTTTTTACTACTGGGGTTAAGATAAGGTGAATTTCAATTTCCTCGCATGCTCTGTCCACTGTTTTTACATTTTAAAGGAACAGTTCACCCCAAAATCAAAGATACATATTTTTCCTCTTATCTGTGACATCATTTTTTAATCTAGAATTTTTTGGTTTGAGTTATCGAGTGTTGTAGATATCAGCTAGAGAGATGTCTGCCTTCTCTCCAATATAATGGAACTAGATGGTACTTGTGGAGCTCAAACACCAAAAATACATTTGAAAAACTCAACAGCAATGTCTCTTTCCAGAAATCATGACCCGGTTTGCTAATAATCCACAGACCTTGCTGGGAGCAGTTCCATGTAGGAACTACTTTCCCTCTATTGAACCACACCCACCAACCGTATCACAGCGCAGAGGAAAGAGTGCATCTACTCATGGATGAGAGGGTCATGCTTGTGACAGTGTGAGATGTAAACATTAATGACATCAATCACGTTAGCTAGCTATCAGTAGATGCACGCTTCTTTCTGTGCAGTGACACGGTTATGGGTGTACTTCTGAAAGAGAGAAAAAAGTTACTACATGTAACTGCTCACAACAGAGGAGTGGAAGAAAAATATGCATTTTGGAGTGAACTGTCCCTTTAATATTTTGGCATACTAAAACACAACTTGTAATTATGTGGTGTGATCTGAGCTGTTAATTATGTGATTTTAAATATTTTGCATTATAGAAACGTTACAATGATGCGAGCACGCACACCTGAAATGTTTTACCTTGTGAAGGCAGGGCAGAGTTCGGATGTGCTGGCCCAGGCTGAAGTTCTGCAGACAGATCCGACACTGCTGTCCCTCATCCAGGAGCCGAGACCCTGATCTCACCCTGACCGTAGGTAGACACTCCAACACACTTTCAGGTATAGGGTCTGCAGCTACAGGGATGATGCTGAGAAGCAAGATGTGAAAATGAGCATGTTACCAATAAAAAGCAGTAGTTCTCCTTAAAACCAAGAGACATTTTGTACTGCCTGTGTGAGTCCCATTTTTGGTGTCAGCAGTATTATTCTAAGAAGTATTATTCTTAGATAGGTCTCAGGTATTTTACATCAGAAAAGCATCAGTGTTCAGAGTGAATTTGTCCATCTTATACTAAAGATAAATTTGTTTTCTGGATGTCTTTAATAACTCACCTGCCATTTCCTGGCTGTGAGGTCGCACCTCTTTGTTCATCACTCAGCTCCTCGGCCACGAGGTGCCACTTTTCTCTCCTTTTCTGTTTGAAGTTTAGTCAGAGTGTTTGTTTTCATCAGGTGTGTTTATTTAATTATATCTACAGTTATATTGTCAGAAAAGCTTGATCACTACAACCAACACAATTATGATATTTCACT